CCCCCTCCCTCACCCCCCGAAACTAAGTACACGGTTACCATGTATGCGACATTGAGACTACACAGTGAAAAAGGAAAAATTCATGTCAACGTCAAGAAGGGAGCAAAGCAGTTACCGTTTACCTAGCTGAAGCCCCCTCCCCCACGAAACTAAATACCTGCTTACCGTGTTTGTAGATAATGAGAGGCGCCCGGTTGCCGGTTACCGTGTACGTAGATATTGAGGCTACGCGCCCGGTTACCGTATACGTGACATTGAGACTACACACCCGGTTACCGTGTACGTAGACACTGAGGCCACTGTACGTGCCCGGTTACCGTGTACGTAGACTCTGAGGCTACGTGCCCGGTTACCGTGTACGTAGACACTGAGGCTACGTGCCCGGTTACCGTGTACGTAGACCCTGAGGCTATGTGCCCGGTTACCGTGTACGTAGACACTCCGTTGGTGTTTATTTAACATAGAAGATATTCCTCATTATTATTGTTGGGTATGGATTCCATATTTTAATGGAGCTTCTCGACTTCTACATTTAGACAACAGTAGTCTTATAGTTATTAGGAGATGAATGGGCTTAAAAACATAAAATAAGTCTGACTTACTAATTGAACTCAATACGCTTAGGTGTGTATGATTTTATACACTTACTTTACAAGACTAACTTACTACACTACAGAATTGTCTCGCCTGATTCTAATAATATCAAGATCTTTTGAACAAATCTGAGAAATTTAATTACCACACTCAGTTTCACTATCATTATATAATAATTTATGCTTTTTTTTTCTCTAATTTTGTGCCCACAAAAGTACAATACAGTCAAACTTGTCCAAGATGGCCATCCATTGTTGAGGAGAATAGTAGTCATAGTCTTCTTGGGTTGTATTATAAGTTTTATAATACCGAAAAAACACAAGTGGGAAGTGATCTTTTGTACTGGTCATTGTCTTGGAGGTTCTTTAATAACTCTGTAATTTTCCGTGAGGCTGGATACGATGTAGATTGACACAAAAATTAAACATTAAGTGTCTTTAATTTGCAATACTCATTCCGCTCCCGCTTGCTTTCATATTTATTGAAATTTATTGTTCGTGGTCCTATTCTGACCTTGGTGATTATGCATTATAATGAGAGCAAATGTCTAATGTTGGCTAATGAAACAAATGATTTGTCATGTAATATGTCTGTGCTTGCTCACTCACTGTTTATAAACTCTGGCCTGGGTTTAACCATTTTCAGTTGAGGAGTACAGGAAAAAAATGGGTTTGTTGACTCAGAATCATTTCTGTGTGACTGTTTGTCTGTTATTAAATTGTTTGATGAATAAATAGTAGCCAACGGTAAAACAAAAATCCTTTTCAAAGTCGAAATTGCCTTTAAAATGATAACCTGTCCAAGACGGAAACCATTCGTAATGGATTCTTCCCACTTCTCCCTTGATAAATTTTTCTATAAAACATCTGTCTAAGGCGGAAACCTGCTCAACCAAGAGTTAAAAGTGTAGATTCCTTCCCTTCGGAGGGTTTTGACTTTTTTAAAGTTTTAAAAACAGAAAAAAATCTTTGCCTGCTCAGCCCTGATTCCATCTGCTCTGACCTTTATATCATGTCGCCAAGGGAGGAAGGGGGAAGAAGCACAGTTTGGGGTAGCTGTTACCCTATCCATGTGTGCCCCGAGCAGTGCAGATTGTCAGGGTGGTGTTGATGTGAAATCTCACCACTGCTCATGAAAGTGCTCAATTGTGCTCCAGTATGGAAACTTGCCTTGGTAGCCCGAGGTGTTTAAATGGATTTGACCACTGCTTTTAATTTTAATTGGTCAAACAGTGGTCTTTTATGCGATGCAAGCATTAGTAAGACTTGTTGCATGCTGCAATTATCAGAGAGGCTAGGATAGCACTGGGAAAGTGTGAAGTTTTGTTTTGACCACTTCTTGCCAACCAGACAGACGACCCTTGGTCCCACAGTGTACAGGCTGACTCTCTGGATCCTGTGCTCCATCCCCCTCCCCTCTAAATTCTCCTGTCCAAGACAGAAAATGTCTAAAATTAATTGTTTTTTCTGTATCCCTTGCAATTCTGTCTTGGATGGGTTTGACTGTGTATATTATAGTCTGCAAGCTCTTGGAATTTATCTCCTCATGATTTCTATTTTGTGACTATGCCCATTTTTCTCCCCGACTCCCCATTTGTTTTAGTTTTCCTCCTTTTTCTCTATCCTTATTCATCAATGAATTTTTATTTTTCAGATGGTGACTTGGCACCTTGCTGTATTTCTCTGCATGCTCGGAGGAGCATTGGCAGCAGGAAAGAAAAATGTTCTCCTTTTTGAGTCAGAACGAGTCCCTGAGGTATGTTGAACCTTTGAATATAATAAGTGACTATGTTTATAATAGGAGTTCACTTCTGACCTCAAAGTCGAGAACTTAGTTTTCAGGGACTTTGTCATTTTTCAAAATCTGTCAAAGCTATCTTTTTCATTATTGACATTTCCGCTGCCTCGGACTTTTTTGCTTTTATTTTAAGCAATTCCTTATCAACAATTTTAACACTATCATCTACTCCTCTGTTAGTTAGTAAAGACAACTATTTGTTTGCTTCCATTTCAAATTTGCAGTTTTGTTTTTTGACTTTGATGCCAGATGTTTCTGTATACAGTTGGCTGCATTCGTGATACCAATTGTTCCCAACGCGGAGCATTTCCTCAATATTTTACTGTCATTGGTCCGTTTTTTCTGGACTCTTTCAAAATGCTTTTATTTTAATCCTTGTCTGTGAGTGAGAGATGACCACTTGTACTACTATAATAGTTTGGAATGTTGATTGGTAGGTAGGTGTATGTTGAAATTCTTCTGAGCTCCTTTTTTTGTAAATCGCTTCACTATGTCTTGTACTAGTATTTTTTCTTGTTACCTTGGTAGTCCTTAGACTCCGTAAACCATGTGCTTGTTGTGTATCTTTTTGTTCAAGCTGACTGTTCTGATGGGGGTTTTTTCTTATTATTTTCAGTTTCACTTTGCTTCATTGGTCTATTAGACCCTTTTCAAGTGTCTCGTTTATGATATAATACTCATGAAAACAGTTCATGTACTCTCAATCAATGAGATAATCTTAGGTAAACTTATTGAGAAAACGACTTCACATTTATTTGTATCATGTGGATTGCTAAATCATTCAGTGAAGTTTGAACACATTCTTACAATGCTATATCTACTTTAAACAGTTTCCGGGGCCCCATCAGAATTTATGAGTTTTCAATTACTTTTAAGCAGCCCACTAGCCAGTTTTTTTTGGGGGGTCATGCATTCATGATGCATAGTATTTTCCAGCATTGTCATCTTTTCGTGACGTCTTGTGCTGCATTGTAATACTGTAATAGACTGGGACTAGTGCTGTCTAGTGAGTGTCGATGGCTTAATGGTTACCAGCACTGTATTGTTCAAGTTCTGGGGGGGGGGTCACCTTTTTTATAGAAAGGCTGTCAGTGCACTTCACACTTGTAGGGAGTTTCAGTCTTGACTCTTAAAGTGGGTAGTTGGCGGTTGCTCTGGTGTAGTTAGTTCCTCCTTCCCTATCAACAAACATCTAATTTGTCCTTATCTCTCCTCTTTCTTTTCTATTTTTGTGTGTTACTCTCAAGTAACACCTCGTATCTTCAGCACGTATATATATA